TGGACGTTTTATTTCCATATTTTTCTATTGTGAGACCCACCAACTGATATAAAGGTGCCAGGAGTGAACATAAAATATAAAGTGCAATCCAAAGTGTAATGTATTGTGCTATGGGGTTATGATATCGACTTAATAAAGTACATTATGATTAAGCACAGTTTTGTTTTAAGCAAAGAACACCTAAAAAGAAATTAAAAAAAGCTATAAATAGATATATATATATATTTAAAAAAAATTGTTGTTTCAAAATGAGGAAGTTGAATTTGTTAACGAGTTTACTTATAAGGAGTAATTTTTCAGCCCTCAGGGTTGACTTTTAAAAAACATATCGAAAAGCGAGTGAGAGCGGCTTTACTCTCAATGTATAGTGTAAAAGAATTGCTTTTGATTGACTCCGCATTGAAATTATTTGAGCTGAAATTGGCTCCTATAACCTCGTATGGTATTGAAGCGATTTGGAAGTATTTAAAAAAGGAAGATTTTGTGAAACTGGAATGTGAAAAGAGTAGGTACTTGAAAAAAAGTACTAGGTTTGTGAAAATACACGAGATCTCGCTATGTGAGCTTGTCGATACTGATTTATTTATTTCTGATTTAAAAGTAAAATTTGACCTTCCAGTGAACAATGCATTTGAAACTTTTTGTTATGAACCATTGCTGAAGAAATTCAATATCTGTGATGAATTTTATAAAACGGAGACGATGATTAAAGAAAACTAGCTGGAAGGCGGAGCAATTTAAGGATAGACATGTTTTCACCAGATACGCGTATCGTGGTTTTCACTTTTTGTTTTGTACAAACAGTACATATCACTGTAAAGCACTGAAAAATTGTATCTGCAAATTTTGTGGTGGATTTTGAACACAGTATCATATAATATAATTAATATATTTTTAAAAAAGAAAATGAGTCTGCGCGAAGCAGCAAACTGTAGGTGTGAAGCCAAGTGAATTGGGAGGTTATATTGTTAGAGTAAATTTGTGGCACGCCTACGGCGTTCATTTAATTAATTACATATTTAAAAAAGTAATGCAAAAATAAATATCAAAGAAAAAGCGATCGAAACGGCCAGTGAGCAAAAACTTAACGTCTTGTCAAATAACAAATGACTAAAAATTAGATTTTTTACACTTTTTTGACACTTTTAATTTCATATCTCAAAAACTATGATATGTCGGTAAATGGGCCCTTCACCATTCGATTCGGCATGCTAAAATTAGTCAAAAACAGCAATAAAATAAACAACATTCCGTCTTACTTTTTGAGCAAAAAAATAAAAATTGAAATTTTTGCACTTTTTTAACACTTTAAATTTTTTTATCTCGAAAACTATGATAGGTCGGTCAATGGGACCTTCACCATTTGATTCGGCATGCTCAAATTAGTCAAAAACAGCAATAAAATAAACAACATTCCGTCTTACTTTTTGAGCAAAAAAATAAAAATTGAAATTTTTGCACTTTTTTAACACTTTAAATTTTTTTATCTCGAAAACTATGATAGGTCGGTCAATGGGACCTTCACCATTTGATTCGGCATGCTCAAATTAGTCAAAAACAGCAATAATATAAACAACATTCCGTCTTACTTTTTGAGCAAAAAAATAAAAATTGAAATTTTTGCACTTTTTTATCACTTTTAATTTTATATCTCAAAAACTATGATATGTCGGTCAATGGGACCTTCACCATTCGATTGAGCATGCTCAAATTAGTCAAAAAAAGCAATAATATTAATAACATTCCGTCTTACTTTTAGAGCAAAAAAATAAAAACTTATTTTTTTGCACTTTTTTAACACTTTTAATTTTTTTATCTCGAAAACTATGATAGGTCGGTCAATGGGACCTTCACCATTTGATTCGGCATGCTCAAATTAGTCAAAAACAGCAATAATATAAACAACATTCCGTCTTACGTTTTGAGCAAAAAAATAAAAATTGAAATTTTTGCACTTTTTTAACACTTTTAATTTTTTTATCTCAAAAACTATGATAGGTCGGTCAATGGGACCTTCACCATTCGATTCAGCATGCTCAAATTAGTCAAAAAAAGCAATAATATTAATAACATTCCGTCTTACTTTTTGAGCAAAAAAATAAAAACTTATTTTTTTGCACTTTTTTAACACTTTTAATTTTTTTATCTCAAAAACTATGATAGGTCGGTCAATGGGACCTTCACCATTTGATTCGGCATGCTCAAATTAGTCAAAAACAGCAATAATATAAACAACATTCCGTCTTACGTTTTGAGCAAAAAAATAAAAATTGAAATTTTTGCACTTTTTTAACACTTTTAATTTTTTTATCTCAAAAACTATGATAGGTCGGTCAATGGGACCTTCACCATTCGATTCAGCATGCTCAAATTAGTCAAAAAAAGCAATAATATTAATAACATTCCGTCTTACTTTTTGAGCAAAAAAATAAAAACTTATTTTTTTGCACTTTTTTAACACTTTTAATTTTTTTATCTCGAAAACTATGATAGGTCGGTCAATGGGACCTTCACCATTTGATTCGGCATGCTCAAATTAGTCAAAAACAGCAATAATATAAACAACATTCCGTCTTACTTTTTGAGCAAAAAAATAAAAACTTATTTTTTTGCACTTTTTTAACACTTTTAATTTTTTTATCTCGAAAACTATGATAGGTCGGTCAATGGGACCTTCACCATTTGATTCGGCATGCTCAAATTAGTCAAAAACAGCAATAATATAAACAACATTCCGTCTTACTTTTTGAGCAAAAAAATAAAAATTGATATTTTTGCACTTTTTTAACACTTTTAATTTTTTTATCTCGAAAACTATGATAGGTCGGTCAATGCGACCTTCACCATTTGATTCGGCATGCTCAAATTAGTCAAAAACAGCAATAATATAAACAACATTCCGTCTTACTTTTTGAGCAAAAAAATAAAAATTGAAATTTTTGCACTTTTTTAACACTTTTAATTTTATATCGCAAAAACTATGATATGTCGGTCAATGGGACCTTCACCATTCGATTCAGCATGCTCAAATTAGTCAAAAAAAGCAATAATATTAATAACATTCCGTCTTACTTTTTGAGCAAAAAAATAAAAACTTATTTTTTTGCACTTTTTTAACATTTTTTGAGAATTAAAAACCCAAAGAAACCACTCAGAACGGGAAATAATTTAAATTAGTACTTTTGACTAAACACCTTTTACGTGGAATTACGTTCCGAGACGCGAGATACTGAGACAAAAACCAGTGTAAAAAAGTTAGAAAATTCCTGTTGTGATAATAAACAATTTTAATTGAGGGCGAAAATTTCCCAAAATTAAAACTCTTTAAAACCACCCCAATCTGTCCGTATTGTTTTGTGCTGGACAGCTGTTTCGGCTATTGAAGCCTCATCAGCAGCACTTTGCCTAGCAAATCAAATTCCACCCGCAGCGAGCTGCGAGAAGATGTTGCTTTGCTCGGCGCACAAATACGACTGCTGGCTGCTTCTTAGCAACCTGCAGAGAACGAAAAAGAGAGAGCTCGCGGCCTTCACCAGCGAACCACCCCCTCGTCCGACTCTTTCTTCCTTTTTTTTCACAAAGTAAATGTCTCATCTCAGGGAAGAGCGGCGGTCGCCACCCGAGCCACGCAAAACCGGAGTGATATTTTGCGCCCCAATTGCTGATCGCGGTCTGCGATTTTATACAGCACGGGCAAAGCGACAGCGCAATGAAGGGGCTGCCACTTTGTTGTCCACCACGAATGGAAATAGTTTTTTGAGAATTAAAAACCCAAAGAAACCACTCAGAACGGGAAATAATTTAAATTAACGTAATTCCACGTAAAAGGTGTTTAGTCAAAAGTACTAATTTAAACTTTTTTAACACTTTTAATTTTTTTATCTCGAAAACTATGATAGGTCGGTCAATGGGACCTTCACCATTTGATTCGGCATGCTCAAATTAGTCAAAAACAGCAATAATATAAACAACATTCCGTCTTACTTTTTGAGCAAAAAAATAAAAATTGAAATTTTTGCACTTTTTTAACACTTTCAATTTTTTTATCTCAAAAACTATGATAGGTCGGTCAATGGGACCTTCACCATTCGATTCAGCATGCTCAAATTAGTCAAAAAAAGCAATAATATTAATGACATTCCGTCTTACTTTTTGAGCAAAAAAATAAAAACTAATTTTTTTGCACTTTTTTAACACTTTTAATTTTTTTATCTCGAAAACTATGATAGGTCGGTCAATGGGACCTTCACCATTTGATTCGGCATGCTCAAATTAGTCAAAAACAGTAATAATATAAACAACATTCCGTCTTACTTTTTGAGCAAAAAAATAAAAATTGAAATTTTTGCACTTTTTTAACACTTTTAATTTTTTTATCTCAAAAACTATGATAGGTCGGTCAATGGGACCTTCACCATTCGATTCAGCATGCTCAAATTAGTCAAAAAAAGCAATAATATTAATAACATTCCGTCTTACTTTTTGAGCAAAAAAATAAAAACTAATTTTTTTGCACTTTTTTAACACTTTTAATTTTTTTATCTCGAAAACTATGATAGGTCGGTCAATGGGACCTTCACCATTTGATTCGGCATGCTCAAATTAGTCAAAAACAGCAATAATATAAACAACATTCCGTCTTACTTTTTGAGCAAAAAAATAAAAATTGAAATTTTTGCACTTTTTTATTTTCTATCTCGAAAACTATGATAGGTCGGTCAATGGGACCTTCACCATTCGATTCGGCATGTTCAAATTAGTCAAAAACAGCAATAATTTTAACAACCTTCCATCCTTCTATCTGAACACAGCAATTGTTCTGAATATATTCTCCTCTGCTCCTTTGTATACACTTCATTCCCCCACCACTTTTTTGTGCGCGTAGCGCGACCATCTTCGTTCGCTGTTGGTTGGCTCACCGAGGCCAACTTCCTTGGCGATTTTCTAGGCCAGCCTTTTTCTAGGCTAACTTCACACACATAACTTTTTCCTGTTATCAGGTGCACTTCTTCAGCACAAGATGGAACACCAAAATTCCAACCCTGAGGTAATGAACCTGCATAATCATAAATAGGATTTTCAAATTGGTAGGAAATATTAATTTATTTGTCTGATAGAGTGCGGCAGACTCAAACACCTGCTTGGAGTTGGCACTGGAAGGCGAGCGTCTCTGCAAGGCAGGTGACTGCAGAGCCGGGGTAACGTTTTTCGAAGCGGCCATCCAGGCCGGCACAGATGATCTTCGCACCCTGAGCGCCATTTATAGTCAACTGGGCAACGCTTACTTCTACCTGGGCGATTATGTCAAGGCCATGACTTACCACAAGCACGACCTGACCCTTGCCAGGACAATGGGTGACAAGTTAGGGGAGGCCAAAGCTAGTGGCAACCTGGGCAACACCCTGAAGGTCATGGGCAAATTCGACGAGGCCACAATTTGTTGCAAACGCCACTTGGAAATATCAAGAGAACTCAATGACAAGGTACAAGGTCTTACGTCAGTAAATCTAAATCTCCCGAGAAAATATGAAAAAAAAATTATTTGTCAGGAGCAGAAAATATATATAAAATTGTTGTCTAACAGACGCATTTTTTTTTTAATTTTGGTAGCTTCATAATTTTCCCGATGAAAGTATAAAATTGTGATGATCAAAAGTACGGTCTTGTTTAGGTCGGTGAGGGTCGAGCTCTGTACAATTTGGGCAACGTCTTCCATGCCAAGGGCAAGCACATTGGCCGTCTTGGTCAGCAAGACCCCGGGGAGTTTCCTGAAGAAGTCAAGCATTGTTTACTAGAGGCTGTGTCTTACTACGAGTAGGTTTTCATAATGAAAAGTTAAGAATACAAAAAAAAAATGTGAATTTATAATTTTTAGGGGTAATTTGCAGCTGATGAAAGAGTTGAACGACACTGCAGCACAAGGTCGTGCGTGTGGTAACCTTGGAAACACCCACTACCTGCTGGGAAATTTCCACCAGTCGATAAGCTATCATGAAGAGGTACAATAAAATTAATTTAAAATTCTAGCAGATCTTATGCAAATTTTCATATGTTAATGCAAACATTAATTGTTGTAAACTTGAATTTTGGAGAGCTGAATGAAAAAATCTAAATGCTCATTTCTTTGCAGAGGCTGAAAATTGCAAAAGAATTTGGAGACAAAGCTGCAGAACGAAGAGCACACAGTAACCTGGGGAATGCTCGCATTTTCCTGTCCGAGTTCATCGTTGCTGCAGAACATTACAAGTAATTATTAACTTCATTTGGAACTTCTTGTATTAATTTTAATTTCTCAGGCAAACTTTAGCGTTGGCTCATGACTTGGGAGACAGGGCCATAGAGGCACAAGCATGCTACAGTTTGGGGAACACTTACACTTTGCTGAGAGACTACCCTACCGCCATTGATTATCACCAACGACATCTGAGCATAGCGCAAGAACTGATGGACAAAATGGGAGAGGGTATTCTTTACTTTTTTTTATTCAAAGGCAATTTCAACTTGATGCTTTCTAGGCCGTGCATACTGGAGTTTGGGAAATGCTCACTCAGCCCTCGGAAACCATGAGAAGGCGCTTCATTATGCCAGCAAGCACTTGGAAATATCAAGACAGGTGCAGTTATAAATTTGTATTGCACTCCTTTACTTATTATTATTATTTTTTCATTAGACTGGAGATGAAATGGGCCAGGCTACTGCTCAGATGAACGTCTCTGATCTGAGAAAGGTGCTAGGCTTGCCAAATGTGCAGGACGAAGCTCAGAATAGCCAGCGTGTCAGACGACAGAGCATGGAACAGTTGGATCTTATCAAGGTTTTTAATTGCAGTCCAAGATTATTGCAGTTCTGATTGTAAAAAAAATTGCAGATGACTCCAGATGCACGACAGCTTCAAAGGGGTCTGAGTTTACCAACAGCTATCGAGGATGCACAGGTTTGCAAAACTTACGTTTTTATTGTTAAATTTAAACACATATTTATAGGGCCCCTCTAAGGGACAAGGTGCTGAGGAGGATGATAGCTTCTTTGACCTGCTGTCTCAATTCCAATCCAAGAGAATGGACGACCAACGGTGCACTCTGGGTGGCGCTGAAAACAAGGAAAATATCAAAAGAACCAAAATTCCAAGCAGTACAAATTTTGCCTCGAAAACTCCTGCACCAAACACTCCAAATCCCAAGTCTAGTAAAATTATAATTCATTCCGCGTTAGTTATATTTTCTAATAAATTTTAATTGCAGAAGAAAAGGGCACAGATGAGCTTATTGACTTGATTGCCGGGATGCAGAGCAAACGAATGGATGAACAACGGGTAGAGCTTCCTCATTTACCTGGTCTTGTTCCTCCCCCGGGTCAATCACTACCAGTTGCTGTCAGTTCCGAAGGTTCTGAAGATTTCTTTGAGATGTTGATGAGATGCCAGGTAAAATAAAAGAAAACAATTCATATGAAGGTTTATTGAAAAATATATAAATTTTTAGGGAGCAAGACTGGAAGATCAGCGTAGTATTCTCCCGAAGGAGAACATTTCGACTTCCAACTTGACCGGGGACGAGGAACAGGAGCCTCAGCCGAGCCGTCAGCGTACAACGACTACTGTTCCTGATGAAGACTTCTTCTCATTAATCATGCGTCTGCAGTCCTCTGGCCGCATGGATGATCAGCGGGCGTCAGTGCCAAAGAAAAAATAGCATTCTTCCGCGTTGTAACACAAATCAATACCACACTGGACGAATTTTTTTGGCCTACACTCACTTCCAGGTTGATGAAGTACACCTGTGCCAAATTATGTGCATTGTTGTCTTGATGTTATAGAAAAATCATAATAATCTAAATTTATCTTATACCTATCAATGAATGTGATGTGAAAGTGGTGCTTTTGTCAAAACTTGAAAGAAGATACTTATGATAAGCATCAATCAGCCGTACTGTCCCTTTGCTGTAAAATTAAGAAACTATATCTCACTTCAGGGAAAATTTTTCATTCCTAATCTGGCTATTTGAAGATCTGAATTGTCTATTAATATAAAACGATGAAAGACATAAAAGGCACTGATAAATTTTAAAGATCTTTGTGTATGATTAAATTTACAAGGCAACATGAGCAAATTAATTTCTTTTGAACAGTATTTTTTTTTTAGCCAAGGTATGAGGCAATAACGACTTTTATGTGAAATACAAAAAATATTTCCCGTCTATTTGGTGCATTGCAGATCATTGCAGATGTCATCCATTTTTCAAAAAAAGTTTTACTTTTATAAAAAAAACCTAATCATTCCATTTTTATCAAACATTAACATTGAACAGCCTCGCGCTGTTAATGTAAATTTTGTAATTAGTTAATTTTTATATATCCAGCAGTGTTTCTCGATAAACTGTACATAGAAAAGTTGTATTTTGTTTAATTTTCACCGCTCACAAATTTTACTATAATCAAATGCAAACATTCTGTCCATGCTGCACAGCAATTGAAATTGTACAACTCATTCTTCTAAGGTGGCATTAATTGAGTTTGTGCTACCAATAGATTTTTATTAGCATTATAAGACATGGTTGATTAAATTGAGGCATTTTTAATAATCTCTTTCTTGCCATGTTGATAGATACCTGGATTGCAATTTTTTATGTGCAGTGGAAACCACAATTTCTTTGTAATAGGGAATTCTGCCATCAACCTCAGTATGAATCATTTGCTTTATCACAAATTTTCTGTTTTACTCATTTATATAAAATAAATAGGTCTGCCAAATTTAATTGTAGAAGATAGCAAAATAAAACATGCTGTATAGTTCTTTTACATAAATTTGCTTTTTTTTTTAATTCAAACAATAAACTTTATTAAAATTAATATTTATAATAATGGTACTTTTTTCAACACATTCCTGTACCACATGTAGCCTGTGAAAGCACTCAGGGAGTACCAAGTCAAAATATAGGAAAAGTGCTCGTTTCGCAGGGACACCCTAGTCTGGCCACCAATCGGCCCTCCTGGCACTGTGCTGCTAGCCAGGGCATCAAGGAAAATAGGGTCTGTTCCTAATTCTCTAGCCATTGTTTCCATATCCCTAATGCAATTATAATATTTCAAAGGCTTCTTAAAATATATAACAAAAATCACCTGAAGTAGAACATTTTGGCAGTAGGTTGGCTCTTCGGAATAAAAGCACCCCTCTGTTCATTCAATCTGACAACTCCGGTGAGGGTCACTTCACCCTCAACTTGACCTTGCAAACGCTTGGTGGAATTCTTCAAGTTTGACGGAATCCATCCTCTTTGAACTAATATTGTTTCGCTGTGAAAAAAATTAAGCATTAATTTTCAAGAGCAATTAAAAATAAGATCATTTACTCTCGGTCGGCTAATTTAAAGGGTGTCACAACCAAAACTCCTGATTTGCCAGGCATTAGGGCACTACTTGTTTCCTCCGTGGTCAGGAGTGACCGTGGCCCAATAAATACTTCTTTCGAGTGGTCAAAAGTTCCTCTTACCGTCACAGGACAGTATTCCAATTCCTCGATTTTGTCCATACTGTTATTATTTAATTTTAACAAATTATCTCATTATTGTTTAAAAGATTCAGTTTACCTTTGAGGCAATTCTACTGGCTTGCTCATTGTCCGTTTAGACAAGTCTTCGATTAGCTGAAGCTTCCACGCCCTTCTCTTCACCTGCCATGACCCAAGTCCAAAGGCTGTGACTGGCATGAGCTATACGCAGTGGCAATTTCAATTATTTAATATTATCAATAAAGCATAAAATTATTTTTACCAGCAAAAACCAACCGAGTGGAGTGACCTTTTCACCTTCTTTGTTTGCGGGAATGGTCCTTGTGGATACAAATCTTTTTAATGTCACGTTGGAGCATCGACATGCCAAGCTGAGGGTGAGGACTGTTTGCCTGGCAGACTGAAAATTAATAAAAAAAAAATTTTTGTTTAATATCAATATGATATTATTGAATAAAAAAACCTGAGTCTTTGCGTTATTTTTTATTATTGCTTCACTGAATAAGCGTAATGAGTTCATCCTTGCGACTTCTTGTGTCAAGTCAAGTAGTCCCTAGAGCTGCAGGTCTGGTTTCTGGCTCTCTGATCAAAGCCTACAAAAATAATTAATATGTATCTTTAAGAAACAAAGAAACTTAAAAAAAAAAATCATAAAGTAGTTGGAAAACTATCAAACCAAATTCATGTGTACGATCTGGCGTATTTAGGTTAAGAAAAAGTTTAAAATATGATTTTATTCAATTCAAATGTGAATTTTAACACGACCGTGAAGTTGGCCACTTTTTTCAGCCACTCGCCTGAACTTGGCCACTTTTCCGAGCCACTCGTAAACCTTCGAAAGAACAATGTTGCCAACATAACACCGGCATAAACGTAGAGTCAAAACAAAAAACACGGGCTTTTAAGATTTGAAAACGATTTCATCCGTCAGAAAGGTAATAAAATAATCAAATAATATACATTGAACATTGAACGCATTGAAGTTTGGTTTTACTAATCTATAATGTGAAACTCCTCAATGTTATACACATAAATATTTTATTAAACCCTTGTTGATCGACTACACTATGCTTTTAATTTTTTTTAAATTAATTTCAATGGTTGAATTTTGCTCACTTTTTGCAAAAAGGTGTCCCAAGTACTTGTTTACAAAGGGACAATAGCCTCATTGATGATCGCAGATCAGGAGCCGCCCCCGGGGGCAGCCACTTTTTTAAAACGACGATTTTCACTCAAAAAAAAGTTTTTTTTAATTTAAATTATTTTCTATGGTTGAATTTTTCTAATTTTTTGCACAAAGGTGGCCCAAGTACTTTTCTACAAAGTGACAATAGCCTCATTGATGATCGCAGAACAGGAGCCGCCCCCGGGGGCAGCCACTTTTTTAAAACGACGATTTTCACTCAAAAAAATAGTTTTTTTTAATTTAAATTATTTTCTATGGTTGAATTTTTCTAAATTTTTGCACAAAGGTGGCCCAAGTACTTTTCTACAAAGTGACAATAGCCTCATTGATGATCGCAGATCAGGAGCCGCCCCCGGGGGCAGCCACTTTTTTAAAACGACGATTTTCACTCAAAAAAATAGTTTTTTTTAATTTAAATTATTTTCTATGGTTGAATTTTTCTAAATTTTTGCACAAAGGTGGCCCAAGTACTTGTCTACAAAGTGGCAATAGCCTCATTGATGATCGCAGCACAGGAGCCGCCCCCGGGGGCAGCCACTTTTTTAAAACGACTATTTTCACTTAAAAATTTAGTTTTTTTTAATTTAAATTAATTTCTATGGTTGAATTTTGCTGATTCTGTGCACAAAGGTGGCCCAAGTACTTGATTGCAAAGGGACAATAGCCTCATTGATGATCGCAGAACAGGAGCCGCCCCCGGGGGCAGCCACTTTTTTAAAACGACGATTTTCACTCCAAAAAATATTTTTTTTTTATTTAAATTATTTTCTATGGTTGAATTTTTCTAATTTTTTGCACAAAGGTGGCTCAAGTACTCGTCTACAAAGTGGCAATAGCCTCTTTGATGATCGCAGCTCAGGAGCCGCCCCCGGGGGCAGCCACTTTTTTAAAACGACTATTTTCACTTAAAAATTTAGTTTTTTTTAATTTAAATTAATTTCTATGGTTGAATTTTTCAAAATTTTTGCACAAAGGTGGCCCAAGTACTTTTCTACAAAGTGACAAAAGCCTCATTGATGATCGCAGATCAGGAGCCGCCCCCGGGGGCAGCCACTTTTTTAAAACGACGATTTTCACTCAAAAAAATAGTTTTTTTTAATTTAAATTATTTTCTATGGTTGAATTTTTCTAAATTTTTGCACAAAGGTGGCCCAAGTACTTGTCTACAAAGTGGCAATAGCCTCATTGATGATCGCAGCACAGGAGCCGCCCCCGGGGGCAGCCACTTTTTTAAAACGACTATTTTCACTTAAAAATTTAGTTTTTTTTAATTTAAATTATTTTCTATGGTTGAATTTTTCTAAATTTTTGCACAAAGGTGGCCCAAGTACTTGTCTACAAAGTGGCAATAGCCTCATTGATGATCGCAGCACAGGAGCCGCCCCCGGGGGCAGCCACTTTTTTAAAACGACTATTTTCACTTAAAAATTTAGTTTTTTTTAATTTAAATTATTTTCTATGGTTGAATTTTTCTAAATTTTTGCACAAAGGTGGCCCAAGTACTTTTCTACAAAGTGACAATAGCCTCATTGATGATCGCAGCTCAGGAGCCGCCCCCGGGGGCAGCCACTTTTTTAAAACGACTATTTTCACTTAAAAATTTAGTTTTTTTTAATTTAAATTAATTTCTATGGTTGAATTTTTCAAAATTTTTGCACAAAGGTGGCCCAAGTACTTTTCTACAAAGTGACAAAAGCCTCATTGATGATCGCAGATCAGGAGCCGCCCCCGGGGGCAGCCACTTTTTTAAAACGACGATTTTCACTCAAAAAAATAGTTTTTTTTAATTTAAATTATTTTCTATGGTTGAATTTTTCAAAATTTTTGCACAAAGGTGGCCCAAGTACTTTTCTACAAAGTGACAAAAGCCTCATTGATGATCGCAGATCAGGAGCCGCCCCCGGGGGCAGCCACTTTTTTAAAACGACTATTTTCACTTAAAAATTTAGTTTTTTTTAATTTAAATTAATTTCTATGGTTGAATTTTGCTGATTCTGTGCACAAAGGTGGCCCAAGTACTTGATTGCAAAGGGACAATAGCCTCATTGATGATCGCAGCTCAGGAGCCGCCCCCGGGGGCAGCCACTTTTTTAAAACGACTATTTTCACTTAAAAATTTAGTTTTTTTTAATTTAAATTAATTTCTATGGTTGAATTTTTCAAAATTTTTGCACAAAGGTGGCCCAAGTACTTTTCTACAAAGTGACAAAAGCCTCATTGATGATCGCAGATCAGGAGCCGCCCCCGGGGGCAGCCACTTTTTTAAAACGACGATTTTCACTCAAAAAAATAGTTTTTTTTAATTTAAATTATTTTCTATGGTTGAATTTTTCAAAATTTTTGCACAAAGGTGGCCCAAGTACTTTTCTACAAAGTGACAAAAGCCTCATTGATGATCGCAGATCAGGAGCCGCCCCCGGGGGCAGCCACTTTTTTAAAACGACTATTTTCACTTAAAAATTTAGTTTTTTTTAATTTAAATTAATTTCTATGGTTGAATTTTGCTGATTCTGTGCACAAAGGTGGCCCAAGTACTTGATTGCAAAGGGACAATAGCCTCATTGATGATCGCAGAACAGGAGCCGCCCCCGGGGGCAGCCACTTTTTTAAAACGACGATTTTCACTCCAAAAAATATTTTTTTTTTATTTAAATTATTTTCTATGGTTGAATTTTTCTAATTTTTTGCACAAAGGTGGCTCAAGTACTCGTCTACAAAGTGGCAATAGCCTCATTGATGATCGCAGCTCAGGAGCCGCCCCCGGGGGCAGCCACTTTTTTAAAACGAATATTTTCACTTAAAAATTTAGTTTTTTTTAATTTAAATTAATTTCTATGGTTGAATTTTGCTGATTCTGTGCACAAAGGTGGCCCAAGTACTTGATTACAAAGGGACAATAGCCTCATTGATGATCGCAGAACAGGAGCCGCCCCCGGGGGCAGCCACTTTTTTACAACGACGATTTTCACTCAAAAAAATAGTTTTTTTTATTTAAATTATTTTCTATGGTTGAATTTTTCTAAATTTTTGCACAAAGGTGGCCCAAGTACTTGTTTACAAAGGGACAATAGCCTCATTGATGATCGCAGATCAGGAGCCGCCCCCGGGGGCAGCCACTTTTTTAAAACGACGATTTTCACTCAAAAAAAAGTTTTTTTTTAATTTAAATTATTTTCTATGGTTGAATTTTTCTAATTTTTTGCACAAAGGTGGCCCAAGTACTTTTCTACAAAGTGACAATAGCCTCATTGATGATCGCAGAACAGGAGCCGCCCCCGGGGGCAGCCACTTTTTTACAACGACGATTTTCACTTAAAAATTTAGTTTTTTTTTAATTTAAATTAATTTCTATGGTTGAATTTTGCTGATTCTGTGCACAAAGGTTGCCCAAGTACTTGATTACAAAGGGACAATAGCCTCATTGATGATCGCAGATCAGGAGCCGCCCCCGGGGGCAGCCACTTTTTTACAACGACGATTTTCACTCAAAAAAATAGTTTTTTTTTATTTAAATTATTTTCTATGGTTGAATTTTTGTAAATTTTTGAACAAAGGTGGCCCAAGTACTTGTTTACAAAGGGACAATAGCCTCATTGATGATCGCAGATCAGGAGCCGCCCCCGGGGGCAGCCACTTTTTTAAAAAGACGATTTTCACTCAAAAAAATAGTTTTTTTTTTTAATTTAAATTATTTTCTATGGTTGAATTTTGCTGATTCTGTGCACAAAGGTGGCCCAAGTACTTGATTACAAAGGGACAATAGCCTCATTGATGATCGCAGATCAGGAGCCGCCCCCGGGGGCAGCCACTTTTTTAAAACGAATATTTTCACTTAAAAATTTAGTTTTTTTTAATTTAAATTAATTTCTATGGTTGAATTTTGCTGATTCTGTGCACAAAGGTGGCCCAAGTACTTGATTACAAAGGGACAATAGCCTCATTGATGATCGCAGAACAGGAGCCGCCCCCGGGGGCAGCCACTTTTTTACAACGACGATTTTCACTCAAAAAAATAGTTTTTTTTATTTAAATTATTTTCTATGGTTGAATTTTTCTAAATTTTTGCACAAAGGTGGCCCAAGTACTTGTTTACAAAGGGACAATAGCCTCATTGATGATCGCAGATCAGGAGCCGCCCCCGGGGGCAGCCACTTTTTTAAAACGACGATTTTCACTCAAAAAAAAGTTTTTTTTTAATTTAAATTATTTTCTATGGTTGAATTTTTCTAATTTTTTGCACAAAGGTGGCCCAAGTACTTTTCTACAAAGTGACAATAGCCTCATTGATGATCGCAGAACAGGAGCCGCCCCCGGGGGCAGCCACTTTTTTACAACGACGATTTTCACTTAAAAATTTAGTTTTTTTTTAATTTAAATTAATTTCTATGGTTGAATTTTGCTGATTCTGTGCACAAAGGTGGCCCAAGTACTTGATTACAAAGGGACAATAGCCTCATTGATGATCGCAGATCAGGAGCCGCCCCCGGGGGCAGCCACTTTTTTACAACGACGATTTTCACTCAAAAAAATAGTTTTTTTTTATTTAAATTATTTTCTATGGTTGAATTTTTGTAAATTTTTGAACAAAGGTGGCCCAAGTACTTGTTTACAAAGGGACAATAGCCTCATTGATGATCGCAGATCAGGAGCCGCCCCCGGGGGCAGCCACTTTTTTAAAAAGACGATTTTCACTCAAAAAAATAGTTTTTTTTTTAATTTAAATTATTTTCTATGGTTGAATTTTGCTGATTCTGTGCACAAAGGTGGCCCAAGTACTTGATTACAAAGGGACAATAGCCTCATTGATGATCGCAGATCAGGAGCCGCCCCCGGGGGCAGCCACTTTTTTACAACGACGATTTTCACTCAAAAAAATA